GACATAGGCTGAGAAACTTTGTTCGCTAAAATAGCGTTATTTCTCCTTCATCACAAACGTTAATTGATTTAGAAGAATGGGGCTCTTGCTCTAAAATGACGCCAAGTCTTTGGTCGCCTGTTCCAATTACGCCCCTTCCAAAGTGACATGCCAATTTTCTGTGAGAAGCTTAAAAAACAAGGGATCACGTTCAGCTACTCCAAAATAAGGCTTTCCATGAAGCGCAGGGCGGTACTGCCAACCCGGCTGGCCCTCCTCCTGGGCACGCACGCGCTCCCTTCGGCCGGGGGCAAGTCTGGGTTCGATTAAAGCGGCAGGGAGCAGGCAACGCCCGGCTCTGGCAACCTGGGAAGATTCTAGGAAAGGAATAAAAGACCGAGAGCACTGCAGGGTGGAGCACTGGCCAGGAATGTTCGACTCCCTCAGCTCCCCGGAACCCTACGAAGCTCACCTGCCCTCGGACATCTCAGGAGGTCTAAGCAAGGGGGTCTTCAGCAAGCGTACAGTCCTCCTGCAAAACTCCCGGCGCTGGCCGGAAGTACTACAGGAAGATGGGAAGTCCCGCCTCCTCGGGAGTGAGCGACAGCCACTGGCCTGCTGACGTCATTGCCTGCGACAGTATTGGTGGAGGGAGGTTTGGTCAGCCCACCCAAACCCAACACGCGCCTCTGTGCTGCCCAGGCGATTTCCTGGCGCTGAGACCTAGGATGACAGAGCAACCCAGTGAACACGCGTGTGTTCCCGCTTATTAGCTGTGATGGAAGCAGTTACAAATCCTGTAGAGATTCAGTTCCATGTTTATTGAAAGTCTACCACATAGGAAGCATGTGTTGGTCACAGAGAAGAAGATAATGTTTGTCAATGGAAAATAACCCAAACTCTGTAAAATAATTTAAAGAGGTGGTGTATTCTGAGCCGAATATATGCTACCATGGCCCAGAGAGCCACACCCAAGAAGCTTTGAGCAAGGTGGTTGGGTTACAGTTTGGCTTTATACGTTTCAAGGAGACAGGAATTACATGTAAATTCATAAATCAATACGTGGAAGGTGTACATTGGTTTGGCAAAAAAAAGTGGGACATTTCGAAGTGGGGCATTACAGGTTAAAGGTGGGTTTAAAGATTCTTTGATTTTTATTGGTTAAAGAAACAAAGTTTTGTCTAAAAACTTGAAATGTTTTACGTTAAGTCAGTCTGTAAATCACAGACAAGCCACCCCACATATTTTCAGACTCCAGTGATCTGTTAAGTAAACTGATGGCCTGCAGGTGTGGTTTAAGCTTTGCCTTGCATAGCCTTAGGCCTGTTAATGAGTTACAAAGGATATCTCCCAGAAGGGAAGGGGGAATGACCAAGCTTGTCTAACCTCCCTTCTCAAGGCCAGCAACTCAGCTTTAGAGCATTTTTGGGGTCCCCTTGGCTAAGAGGGGTCAATTCAGTCAGCTGGGGAGGCTTAAGATTTTATTTTAGTTCACATGTTGATGCCTCCAAAACTGAAAAAAAAAAATTAGCTAAAGCATAAGGCAGAATGAAAGGAAATGTAATAATAGAAAAAAATAATAGAAAAAGTAACTACCTAGACAAGCTATGCATGAGTTTTCTCATATGTTAAAAACTAATAACTGTCTCATTGGTTATTAGTTGTGAGGATCAAATGAGATGACACATAAATAAGCACTTAGCAATCGCATCTGGCAAATGATTAAAACACACAATACCAGCCGGGAGAGGTGGCTTACACCTGTAATCCTAGCATTCTGGGAGGCTGAGGCAGGATGATTGCTTGAGCTCAGGAGTTTGAAATCAGCCTGAAGAAGAGCAAGATGCATCACTACTAAAAATAGAAAAATTAGTTGGGCTTGGTGGCGCATGCCTGTAGTCCCAGCTACTTGGGAGGCTGAGGCAGGAGGATCACTTGAGCCCAGGACTGTGAGGTTGCAGTGATCTGCGATGATGCCACTTCACTCTACCCAGGACAACAGGGCAAGACTCTGCCTCAAAAAAAAAAAAAAAAACACACACACACACACACATAATACCTATGCTATTATTTTTAATTTTTTATTTTTGCTTTTATTAGTTTTAATTGGCTCAATAACTGTACATATTGTACCTATTTATGTACATACTGTACATATTTATGGGGTATAGTGTGATATTTCAATACATGTGTGGAGTATAGTGTAATATTTCAGTACATGTATACAGTTGTGTAACGATCAAATTGGTGTAATCAGTGTACCCATCACCTCAAACATTTATCATTTCTTTGTGTTGGGAACATTCAAAATCCACTCTTCTAGCTATTTGGAAATACATAATAAATTGTTGTTAATTATAGTCACCCTATAGTGCTATAGAACACTAAAAACATATTCCTTCTATCTAGCTGACTTTTGTATCCTTTAACCCAGTGGTCCCCAACTTTTTTGGCACCAGGGACCAGTTTCATGGAAGACAATTTTTCCATGGACGGTGGGGGGCAGGGGAAGAATGGTTTCAGGATGATTCAAGCGCACTACATTTATTGTGCACGTTATTTCTATTATTATTACATTGTAATATATAATGAAATAATTATACAACTCACCATAATACAGAATCTAATGCTGCCACTGATCTGACAGGAGGCGGAGCTCAGGCAGTGATGCTAGCAATGGGAAGCAGCCGTAAATACAGATGAAGCTTCCTTTGCTTGCCAGCTGTGCAGCTGGGTTCCTAACAGGCCACAGACAGATTCGGGTCTGAGGCTTGGGCGTTGGGGACCACAGCTTTAACCAACCTTTGGCTAACCCCACTCCTCCCTATACTATTATTATTGTTATTGAAAATAAAAGAGGCCTTTAAACCCAACCAAAGGGAAATTGAATGTTAACTACCTTGAAGGAGCTAACATTCATGCCGAATATTAAAGTTGAGCATGATTTCAATAGGTAGAGATACATATCCACTGTGAATCTGCTTTTGTTAATTAAGGGAAGGACATAGGCTGAGAAACTTTGTTCGCTAAAATAGACTTTGAGAAGCTTTGCTGTTTAAAATCCTATCAGTAAGAATGGAACATCCCACTCTTGCCCGGAGGATCTGAGCCATGTGGGTCATTTAGATACTTTTCCATTCCAAGTATAGAGCTTCAAGTATGACATTCTACATTTATTTTAACTTTACAGCTTTCAAGGAATCAAGGCCTTGGAATCTGCTTCATTTAACTCATATCTAAACTCCACCAAATCCTAAACTATCCCTGTCTCTTACCTTTTTTCTTAGGCAAGTTAATAAATCTAACTTTGTGGGACTACAGCTTTGCATCTTTTTTTTCAGGGTCTCTCTTTGTCACTGAGGTTTCAGGGCAGTGGCACAATCATAGCTCACTGCATCCTCAACTCCTGAGCTCAAGCGATCCTCCTGTCTCAGCCTCCCAAGTAGCTAGGACTACAGGTGTGTGCTACCACCTGGCTAATTTTTTTTAATGTTTTCTAGAGATGGGGGCTTGCTGTGTTGCCCAGGCTGGGCTTCATCACCTGGGCTCAAGTGATCCTCCTGCTTCAGCCTCCCAAAGCGCTAGGATTATAGGCAGGAACCACTGCTCCTGGCCACAGCTTCGTCTCTAATAGTCTTTAACATATGAGTTATATCACTATTTATTTTAATTAAGCCTCCTGCACTCATGAAGTTCGGCAGACACTTTAGCCCCAATTTAGGCACTCCTCTGTGCCCTGAAAAGACCTGTGGACTTTTTAATTTGAAAGTTTTAAAATTACTTCTTGGCAGAGAATGACCACACTTTTTAAAAATTATTCCTGTCCACCAAATTCAGATCAGCCCCACAACAGATATATAAAGCATGGATCTTCCATTTCTTTGTAAAATACTTTCTTCTTCCCACTAAATTGTGAAAATACTTACACAGTTTTGCCTAGAATAAAGAATGATGGGGAACGGGTATATGCATATGCAAAGAGTGCTATGCGCACCATCCGGGGGATGGACACGCTTGAAGCTTGGACTTGGGGGGGGCGGGGCAAGGGCAACATACGTAACCTAAACATCTGTACCCCCATAATACGCTGAAATAAAAAAAAAAGAATGATACCTCTTCGCCTTCACTTTTTTCTCTTCACATTGATCCTATACATTACTGCCTCAACTGTGTTATCTTCTTGAAGTGCTTTCTGTGTTAAATTTTTCCCAAAAAGAAGTCTATACACCCTGTCTCTCGTTTCTCATCCCCCCTCTCACTTTAATCCTCTTCAGCCTGGCCTCTGGCTTCCCTTCTTCCTTCAGTTATTCTCAGATGTCGCCAGTGACTTCAAATCACAGAAGTGGCTTCTCAGTCCCCATATCCCTTTATTTCTTTACAGCGTAGCTTGATAGGGTTAATGATCCTCCTTTGTTGCAAAAATCATGTTTAAAATGTAGCAAGAAGCTCGAACATAAAAATCAAATATTTGCACTGCAGTCCAGTTTGAGTCTCATCATTCATGCGTTAAGTAAATATTTAGTGCATACCAGCACTGCAGCAGACACTATTTTTAGGCACTGGAGATCTAGCAGTTAAAAAGAAATGCATTAGCCAGGTGTGGTTGCGTGTGCCTGTAGTCCCAGCTACTCAGGAGGCTGAGGCAGGAGGATCGCTTGAGCCCAGGAGTTTGAGGTTACAATGAGCTATGACGAACAGGTGACAGAGAAAGACCCTGTCTCAAAAACAAAAACAAACGAACAAAAAAACCAGCAATGTTCCAGTCCTGGAAAAAAATTACGTTCTAATGATGTGAGACAGATGAGACATAAGTCAGATAGATAACATAAATAGATAATTTCAGATTGTACTAAGTGCAGTAAAAGAAATACGTGGTATGGGGGAGGGTAACCAACTCAAAGTAAAGGAAGGAGAACTTTTAAAAAGATTTTTTTTTCTGGACAATTCAGCAGAAAAGGGAGATGAATTTTAAAGGCGATGTTTGAACTGATGGCTGGAAGGTAAGAAGGAACTAGCAATGGAGAAAAACTGGGGGAACAGCATTATGGGTCTAGGAAATACCAAATATGAAAATCTTGAGGTGGGAAATACTGATTTACAGTTTTTAAAGATCTTTCTAGTGCTCTAAGTTAAAAGGCAGGGTAGAGGGAGAATTAAGAAGGAAGCAGGTAAGCAGAGAGGTCAGCTAAGTGCTATTGTAGTCATTTCATCCAGGGCGCAAAAGAAAAAGGTGGCTTAAACCAGAGAGCTAGGAGCAAAACTGTAAGACTGCGGTTATAGCTGCTGAGGAATCGAGTAAGATGAGAAGAGAGATTGTTCATTAAATTTTGCGAGATAAATGACAGGTCTATGACAAGAGAAGTTTGAGTAGAATGGTGGACTCAAAACCAGACTGGGGTGAGTTGAAGTGGAAAGGAAGTTGAGGGAGCAAAAACAAATGACTCTTCCAAGAAGCAACCTTCTAACTGCCATATTCAGTGGACATGTTTTACTCCGTATCCTATTGGATGTCTTTGCTGCATTATACTTT